AACGCCTACGGCAAATCCTGGCAACCACCGCTAAGGGTGTAAATGGGGGTAACCAAGGTTCAAAACTTCTCCCAAAAAGTATTTCTTTTTATGTTCTTCTAAGGGGTAACTCGTCAAAGTAGAGCCCTTTGGGCGAAAATTTCGTCCGTTTTGCTCTATCTCTAAGAGGGTCTTTTTTGACGAAAATAAGCTAAAAATTGCCACAGTGAACAATAAGTTGTAGAAAAAGGCCTAAAAACCGCAAAATAGAAAGGAAACCCTTCCCCCACGCCCAAAATCGTTTTCTAAGCAGAAGGGTGGGTTGTAGTCGCGGTGCTTCACCGTTACATCCCTTTCTCGAGTCCTTGGGGCAAACTCAATGACGACGGGTTTAAGCGGGCCGAAGGCCCGCTACATCATTCGATCATGTTCTTCAGCAGATCGCGTGACAGAAATGGTCGGGCCGCAGGCCCGACCATTGCCGCCGGCAGGCCAAGCAGGCCCGGCCCCTGCCGAACGGAGTTGCCGGCGGAGCGAAGCGGAGCTGGCAACTTCGTTTGGCGGAAGGGCGGGCCTGCTTGTTCTCTCTCAGGTTGGCAGAATCAGGCTGTTGACGATGAGTGTTTTGCGGCACCCCACCACACCGCGCAGCCCCCTCTGCGTCTCTTGCGATGTCGCGAACGGTTTTGGCGGGCTAACGGCGACGAGAACATCTTGGCGACCTCAGCGTTAACTTCTCTCTACGTATTAAGTGAACTATATCTGGTAATATCAACCGATTTGAACTTCTTTGATTAAGCGAGTGAGGTTCAGACTCAATAAACCGTTACAATCATCAATTCAAATCAAAGGCTCTGTTACCTAACCTTGCCGGCTGTACCACAACTACTCAAATTCTTAATAGAAACTAATGTTGCTTTTTTATGTGACTTTTGTTCTCTCAAGTTCTGTCTGTTTACACTTCCTGTAATAACTTTGGTTGTTTACCCTGTTCAGCTAACGGTTTTTTGGGTTATATTCCGAATTTTATAGTCCGGTGAGGGTGAGGAAAGTACTTTGAGTTGACCTATCAAAGACATTTCTCATTCAGTCGCTTTATTACCATTTATTTCCTGATATATCAATTGATCCTCTGCAGTCATTGAAAGAAAAGTAAAGCACGTTAGCATTTTACCTTGATTTTACGAGTATTTAGTGACTAGGAGTGTGTGTAGGAAGTGGTGTTTGCTTTGTTGAGTGCTGCTCTTTGTTCGGTGCTGCTTCGTGGTGGATCGGCAGATGATTTCTTGGTCTCGAGCCGAGCCGCCTCTGCCTTTTCCCGCGCTGCCGCCGGGCAGGACGCCACGTCCTATTCTAACGGTTTTCCTTGGTGTTTTGGGAGTGAAGTTGCAACCTCTGTGGTTGTGGCACCTGCGACAGCTGCGGTTCGTGGCCTGTTTGATCCCGCCGGTCCCAGCGAACCCACACGGGAAAAAAAAGAGTTAGGTGCTCCAGCTTAACATTCGGTATGCGAGCCAAAAGTAAGCTGCCTGGAGGACAGACAGGAAAATTAGGAACAGTAGCTTATTAATTCGGTGCGTGAGCTAATCTGTGACTGTCGCAGATAAAGCGTTCCCTGTAGTAGCCCAACTACATTAGTTGTCCGAACGAATGCGAAATACCATTCGCTCGTTACCCAACCCCCGCTCCGCTGACGCTGAGTAGTCGTAGCCTCCCCCCCCCCCTCCTCTTCCTCCTGCCCCACGCCACTGGGGCAGCGAGCCCAGAAGTGCACGACAAAAATCTTTTACGACGTACAGCGCACGACACACGACGAGAAGTCTCCTTATGGCTTCGTGTTTTGCGCTTTAGCACCCCCAAAGCGCAAACGCAAAGCCTTAAGCAGAGGTCTTGTGTCATTTCAAATTGTGGTAACATTTCTTGTATCACTGTGTAAACACAATATCTTTGCAAAAGGAATTGTAATATCAGGCCCCGCGCGTGAAGCCTCCTTGGACCACATTGAGTATTGAATAATGTGGGCTTTTCGGATGCTTCTAGACGACACGCTGATGCGTAGAAACATGTCGCACTTCGCTCTACATATTCCGTCTCTTTCTACAGCAGCTCAGACATGCGTAACAACAGAGACGTAGCCGTGTCGCTCTGAACGCAGCCCTGCTAACGCTGCAGCACAAAGGCGATAGCGGCGTATCGGTAGTAAAACCTCCATAGATGCAAATATTAAGGACCGGCCCCTGCCCCGATAAATGAAGACGTTCACGCGACTCTCCCCTAAGCCGGCTTGATTGACAGGCCGTACTCCGCCGAGTGGAGCACGTGCCCGAGCACTACCTGGCCCGGCCCCCGCCCGAGAGACATCCCCGGCCACCCGACCAGCAGCGGGTGCACAGGGTCGAAGTTGGGCTGGCGCAGTTGGGCCAGGCAGCGATCGGGCTGGCGCGGTTCACCTCTCGGGCGAGCCGGCACACAATAGACTTTATGGCCGGGCGAGGCTCTGAGCTCTCCTCAACCAATATCTGGCAAACGTTTTGACAACTTCCATATTTGCAAGACCTCGGTCCCGATTGCTGTGCATCTACGGAGGTTTTACTGTAAAGAGCACAGCATACCGGGGACGAGGGGGAAATCACTCGCGTACTAACTCGTACACCCGGGCCTGTACTAAAGGCGTACTAACGGCGTAATAACGCGTACTAATGGTAAAAATGAAGCGTAATAGTGCTGAAATAACAAAATTTTGTAAAAATTGTGAAAAATGACGTTAAAATTAGGGTGTAATAACGTGTACTAACGTACTAACTCGTACACTGTCAGAAGAGCCATTGGCCACCAAGCACTCGCCCCCCCCCCTCCACTTCCATTCGCCTGCCCCTGATCGTCGTTCAAACGGATCGCGTGAAATACGTCGGGATCACGTAGATTATGTGCGGACCTCGTAGAGTATGTGCGGATGTCATAGATGATGTACGAATTATGTCCTCGGTGTATACTGATCACGTACAGTGACTTACCCCTCGTCGATGACGCCCTTGCGCACAGCGTGTATGTGTGTGTGTGTGTGGGTGTGCACACGCTTGCATGTGCAGGGCTTGCAGCGCGCCCCGCGCTGCTATGGGGCGTGCAGTAATGTCGGATACTTGTAACCAATGTGTGTTTATGACCGTCTTTTACAGACGCTGTCTATGTCCTGGGAGGCGCCGGGAGGAGTTTCGCCGCCAAGTGACCCCCGCCCACCCCTCCGCCCTGGTGTGTCGCCGCGCCCACCCAACCCCAGCAGGCATGTCGATAACGTCAACGCCTTGGACAAGGTAAGTCTAGTTGCTGCTGCTGCAGCCGCTGCCATGTCATGACCTTTGAGTTTCTTCTTTGTGCAGTTCCCTGTGCCCCCACCCCCCGCCGCCGTGCCCGAGGCCCAGGAGGTAGAGACAGCGGCACCGGCAATTGACTCATCCAAGGTATGTGAGAGCGTGGGCGATTGCGCGGTTTCACTATGGTTCATATTCTGAGTCCATCTATAAACACATGAAGGGGTTAGGTGTCGTACTGTAGACGTAGGCGAAGTTGGCCAACCAGTTGGCCAACCAACCCATCCAACCTTACACGGAGTCGACTTTCGTCGATTTTCTTATTTTTTTATTTTTTTTCAGCGCAGATGAAGCCGAAGTGAAATACACGCAGTCAGGCACTGTTCCTGGGTGTATCCCCCACCTCCTCATGACCCCCAGACACGTCTTGGCATTAAAAAACACAACCCCACAAACAGCATCCAAGGCGACTTCGGAGGCTGAGACCTTTTTTGTCTCGGGTGCCACGGGTACCCCGCCTCTTCGGAAGTGTTCTAGGGCAACCCGACAGTGCTGCCAAAACACCGGAAGTCGAAATTTGAGCCCAGAAAAAAAGGTCTCAGGACTCAAAGTCGGCCAAACGCTTATCTCCCCCGTGATCTCGGCCGACTTTGGAGGCTGAGACCTTTTTTGTCGCGGGTACCCCGGGTCCTCCGTAGGTCCCAATGTGTTCTAGGGCAACCTGACAGTGCTGCCAACACACCGAAAGTCAAAATTTGAGCCCAGAAAAAAAGGTCTCAGGGCTCAAAGTCGGCCGAATGCTTATCTCCGTCGTTATCTCGGCTGACTTTGGAGGCTGAGACCTTTTTTGTCTCGGGTGCTACGGGTATCCCGTCTGTTCGAAAGTGTTCTAGGGCAACCCGACAGTGCTGCCAACACACCGGAAGTCGAAATTTGAGCCCAGAAAAAAAGGTCTAAGGGCTCAAAGTCGGCCGGAAGCGCTGAGACCTTTTTTGTCTCGGGTACCCCGGGTCGTCCGTAGGTCCTAATGTGTTCGTGGACAACCCGACAGTGCTGCCAACACACTGGAAGTCGAAAATTGAGCCCAGAAAAAAAGGTCTCAGGGCTCATAGTCGGCCAAACGCTTATCTTCACCGTGATCTCGGCCAACTTTGGAGGCTGAGACCTTTTTAGTCTCGGGTGCCACGGGTACCCCGTCTGTTCGAAAGTGTTCTAGGGCAACCCGACAGTGCTGCCAAC